GCGCGTGCGCTCTCTCTCAAATAAATAAGTATAACTTAAAAAAAAAAAAAAAGAATGCAATGGTGGACTCAACCAACTAAATTGGGCTAGGCTTTCACTTAGTCAGATGTATAGAGGTGACACAAAAGTATAGTGACAGTAATTACCACCACTGCTTTATGAGCATAGACTATGCGGCAGTTACTCTTCCATGCTGGTCCTACCCTCATTTTACACATAAGGAAACTGAAGCACAGAGGGGTTAATAACTCGGGAAATAAGTGGCAGAGTGGAGTTTGTTGGGATGTTTCACAGCTTCCCCTCTTAATCATTCACTATTAATGATACTCTAGACTTTTATTCTCTATTATCTGAATCACCTGCCTGTAGGGAACCAACAGCAGTTTGCAGCCATGGGGCAGGAATCCAAGACTGAGTCAGGGAAACTGAGGTCCACATCCAGACAATCCTCCAGGAAGGACTTTCTGTTTTGTGATACATTGACATGGGACTTTCTACCTAGAAAGTGGAGGCAATGGTTTCTCAGGGTGTGAAGGATCGATTCTGTAGCGGCCCCTGTTGACCTAGACAGTAGCTCTCTGTTTTATGAGACCACCTCTTTCATGCCCATTTCTCACATGGAGAAGTCTTTAGTCCTTTAAATCTTTAGTCTTGTTGTGTGCATCCACTCTCTTCATAACAATGTATTTCTCTGGATGACAGGGAGTAGTAGATATGTCTGAGAGTTGGTGGACCAAAAGACATGGATCCTGAAATTTCCCTCTACTCTTTGTGGGGAAGACTTCTGGTACTCAGTCAAGCGAGTCCTTCCTTCATTTGGTAACAGATGAATCTTTGAAAGTGCTATAACATCTTTTAAAAAAATGTCACTGATATCTCCTTACGAGGCTTTTATTTTAAGGAAAAATTTGGCACATGGAACTTTGAGAATATTTTTATTATATGATGTTGAGAATCATTTTTATCATGTAAGATCCCTCTTTTAGCACCCTTGATAACTGTTATATCATTTGTTTAAAGAAGTTTGTGTATGTCAAGTTCGTGTTTCTGATGGGAAGATGAGTTTATCTGGATCTTAGAGAACATGGTCACTGGATGTAGAAGTCATAAGTTAAAAAAAAATAAAGCTTTGCTAATAAAGTTTGAAAGAAGATTTATTCCTTGGCATAGGCAAGTAAGTGAGGTTGACCTGGAAATCACTGAACAATCATATTAAAATTAGTTCTGTAGATGCTCAAAATGGGACAAGTAAATGCTCAAATTTGGACAGAGTCCACCCACCCTGAGAATGACAACACATGGTATTCATAGATCACTCTCTCAGACAATTGCCTAAAATCAGCCACAGCCAATATCACATCAACTGCCAAGGACAATGTGAGGAGTCATCATATTTTGGGATGACTTCAATGGGATAGAGTGACTGAGGTTTTGAATTTGATTAATTACTTTACATTATCCCTTCAGAGAGACCTCTATTTTTAATGGGAGCCTAGAAAAAATATAATTTGTGTAAATGGTTAGGCTAACAATAGACAGTGAATCTTCCCATTCTAAAAGCTACAGAGTTTCCTAGGTAATGTCAACCTAAGTTTGAATTGGTGAGGGTAAGACTAAGAGAAGAGGGATTAAATGTGCCCCTTTATTGTGCTGTGTACAATCTTTACATTGTAGGGTACTTCATTCTAAGTGTTTTGTTGGAATTTGGTGCTGATCCCCATCGACTGATAAAATAATCCCTCCCATAACCAGTAACACGACCTTGTCCTTCTATCGGAAGCCCTGGGACACCTCCAGGAGATGTGGAACCCTGGTCAAGGCCCACATCAGAGTCTTCTTTCACTTGGAACTTCAGTTCGGTGCCCCTGTGAATCCTTGCAGAGGCTTTCCTGATTTCAGATTTTCCTCTCTCACATCAGCCTGCCACTGCTACATCCTCTTGACTCCCCAGGAATAAATATAAACATTTTTTCCAAGCCTGAAGACCCCTGAGTTCACATTCACAACCTAGGACTCTAATTTTGCTTTTAATTTTACCATGTACTACATCCAATACAGCTAGGTTGTAATTTTGGCCAATGTCAGTTGATGCTTCTAATTTGTGGCTTCCATTTATTTTTGTAAAGTGAATTAATTGCTGGCTCTATTAATCCAGCAAATCCATGAATCCTTAATGTTCAGTTTGCTTAGAATGAGTAACAATGTATTTGTTCCTTCTCAAATACGACTTCTTGCTGAGCTTTAGATGAGCTCCTCTTAGATGGCGTGCCTTATATCTTGGATGATTTATTCACTTTCATGTTCCCTAGAATTTATTGCAAAAGGTTGACAAGAATACTTACAGTTTGGGCTCTAATATAATCTCCTGAATGGCAATTAATAAATAAAAATGGTTACTCTTGTTGACAGAGGAACTAAGCTTTCTCAGATAGTGTTCTTCATCTTCTTGTTTTCACCAAACTTCATGTCAGATGTCCTAGGAGTTGATGGTGTAAAACATTTTCTGTAAACTCCAAAGCTTTTACTGTTGCTTCAATACCCCAAACCTCTATGTTGCCTTTTGTTTTCTTGTCAGAAACAATCTTACCCAATTTCTGTTTCTTCAACTTACCTTCTTTCCTGAGAATATTAGAAGTATGCCTCTTTGTGGATTTAGTAGTAACATAGTCTCAGTGTTTGTGACTTGCAAGTGGCATCTGAAATTTGTCCCTGAAATTTCTTGTAATTTTTTTTCGCTTAATCTCATCTCTGTTGCGTTGATCAAAGATACACTGTCACCTACAAAATGCAGTGTTTATTGTCATCATGTATATTGTTCAAAGTGCAAAATTGCCTCCTGTAAGTTAATGATGAAACTAGAATTATAGCAACATCTGATCTTTGTAGTTTGCCTGTTTGGCCAGTCTTATCAGGACTAATCTAGACTAATGCTCTTCTGGAGATGAGGACACGGTGGGCCAGTTTAAGTAGCTTGACTCATTAGAGTCATCAAGTAGAGGGCAGGGGCCAAGTTTATCTTTAGGCAGTACAGAACAGAAATGCTGGAGTGAGGCTGCCTGAGGACATTCCCGGTTCTGATGCAGAGTGAGTGTGTAATTTTATACCAGTATTTCTCTGCTCTGTTTGTGAGTTCTGTCATCTCTAAAGTGGGGTTAACAATAATAACTGTTAGGATTACAGTAAGGTAATACAGGTAAAGCACTTAGAACAGGACGAAGCATGCCATGCAATGTTAGCTACTAGAATTATTGTCATTATTCTGACTACTTTTAACATATTTAGAACATATGGAAAAGAGGCATTGAGTAAGGTAGTTTATGTATGTAATCCTTAGTATGTACTCAATCTGTAGCTATTGAAAAACTGCAAAGTAATTTATTCCCAGAAATGCAAATTTAGCCTCCACGTAGTAATAACCTCCTTCTCAACTGGAGAGGATCATGAGATTGCGCCCTGGTAGAAAGGGGCCCTGATAGAATTCCTTCCATCTTTAAAATAATCTTTGTGCTGCTGGTATTTAGAGAGCCTAATCCTGCTGTAGACAACTGGAAGCCTGGCTGTGGCTGGGAATGGAGGTCGCGGCATGGGGGAAGGGGACAGCTACATGGCCAAACAGTGCTAGTAAAAAATATTATATATCGATGGGTGCCTGGGTGGCTCAGTCGTTAAGCGTCATGATCCCAGGGTCCTGGGATCGAGCCCCACATCGGGTTCCCTGCTCAGCGGGAAGCCTGCTTCTCCCTCTCCCACTCCCCCTGCTTGTGTTCCCTCTCTCTGTGTCTGTCTCTGTCTAATAAATAAATAAAATCTTTAAAAATATATATATATTATATATCGGAGAACAGATTACTAAAATTCACTTTTTTTTTTCCTTTTTGGAATTATATATTTCATTTAAAAATTACCCCTTTTTAGATACCCAAATAGAAATACAATTTGGAACAATAAGCATTGACACAGAAAAGTTGTTTACTTTCTTGCTTTGCTTTATTTATTTATTGACTAAATGAATTGCATTCATGATACAGTAATAGCCACTAGAGTAAAGTGTTTAATCGTAAAAATTATAATCACTTCAATGTTGATTTCTATGCATAGTATGTTACTCAATAATCATAAAAATAGTCATGGAAATAGTAAAAGCTACAATGTAGGGGCACCTGGGTGCCTCAGTCAGTTAAGCACCTGACTCTTGATTTCAGTTCAGGTCATGATCTCAAGGTCATGAGATCAAGCCCTAGATTGGACTCCACAATCAGTGGGGAGTCTGCTTGAGATTCTCTCTCTCCATCTACCCCTCTCCCCCCAATGCTTTCCCTCTCTCTCTCTCTAAAAAAATAAATCTTAAAAAAAAAAAAAAAAGCTACATGGCACCTGGGTGGCTGAGTTGGTTAAGTGGCTGCCTTCAGCTCAGGTCATGATCCCAGGGTCCTGGGATAGAGTCCTGCATCAGGCTCCCCACTCAGTGGGGAGTCTGCTTCTCCCTCTGCCCCTTCCCCATGCTCGTGCTCTCTCTCATGCTCTCTCACTCTCAAATAAATAAATAAAATCTTAAAAAAGAAATTAAATTAAATTAATTATTTTTTAAAAAGCTACAGCATAGGGAACACTTGGGCTGGGCACTGTGAGAGAAGCCCTCGTCATCTTAGATGCCCTGTGCGTGTGCATGTACAGTTTCTATAGACTGCTAGAAACTTTCAAATTCATATGTATCTGTGTATGTGTGCATATACACACAGGCATATTTATTTAATATATGTTATCTTTTTTAAATCTTAACCACAACTTTACAAAAAAGGAAACCAAGACTCCAAGAACTCAAACCACTTGTTCAAAGTCACAAAAAGTTGGCAAAACTGGGGTCGAACCCCAAACCCTACTCACTCAACACCCCCTTTTTTAAGATCCCCAAACAAACATTTTTGGAACAACAGCCTTTTCCACTACCCCACACCGTGCCTCATTAGGGAAAGGGTGACATTTTGCCCTTTCTTTTCCAGAATCTCCAAGCAAAGATTTCGGTCCAACCCTGGGTTTGAAAAAGTCCAGTTCCTTGGAGAGCCTCCAGACTGCAGTTGCTGAGGTCAGGAAGAACGAACTTCCCTTCCACAGGCCCCGGCCGCACATGGTTCGCGGCCGAGGCTGCAACGAGAGTTTCCGGGCAGCCATTGACAAATCCTATGACGGACCCGAAGAGCTAGAAGCTGGTAGGACAAAGTGCTTCCTTACCCGCGTTCTTCATTTCATTATCATCTGCGAATCATAGGCAAGGATGTGTGCTTAACGACAAAGAAAAATGATTTAAGGATCACAATTAAATTTTTGATATTAAAAGTAATTCATTTTCCTGATATGTTTTGCCCTTTGGCTTAACGAACATGGAATTGGCTAACACAATATGCAATTTATCTGACAGTGCAAACTGTCAAAGAAATGTTCTCCTTCACTTTCCTACAAGGACGGGTAGGAGCACTAAGTATGCATTTCTTGACATTCTTATTTGAGTCATTAGAAGCAGCCTCAACCTGAGGACTGACTGCATTAATTGGGTAGAAGCAGTTGGGTTACATGTGCCCTCAGAAACCTCTCCTAGAAATAAACTCGCCCTGTTTGTTTGCCAGCATATGGGCTTTCGGAGCCGATCGAGGCTCCCAAGCTGGCTTTCAGAGATATTCGTGTTTTGCCATGTATCAAACCTTTTATACCACCGGCTGAACCACCCATTGCTCCCTCCTCCCAACAGCAAACCTTACCTGAAGTAACCAGATTTAGGCAGTTGTCTCTTCAAAGGGTACAAGTAGCTGCGTGGAAGGGTAGAACTCTGGAGTGCTTTATTCATTCCTCTGTATTTTACATTTAACTTTTCTTGATCTACTAACAGTGAGTGCCTCTGACCACATGTATTGATTTTTCTCTCCGTACAGACCGTCTGTCTGATAAGAGCTCTCACTCTGGTCAAGGAGCTCTGAATTGTGAATCTGCCCCTCAGGGCAACTTGGAGCTGGAGGATGCGGAACAGAAAGCCAGGAAAAACAAAAAACCCAAAGAGAAGGAGAAGAAGAAGGAAAAGGGCAAACTGAAAGTCAAGGAGAAAAAGCTGAAAGAAGAAAATGAAGACCCAGAGAGGAAAATCAAGAAGAAGGGATTTGGTGCCATGCTGAGGTATGGGCGTGCTAGGAAGGCCCAGCGGGCTTTGTCTTGCTTTTTTGGTTTCTCCTGGTGAAAGCACTCCTCTGTGTGTAGCCAGAAAACAATAGCAAGCTTTCCCTCCTTTTTAGCTAAATGCGTAAAAATCTCAACTGTGAAGGCGCCTGTTCCTTTCCTGCAGAAGCAGAAGGAGCCTTCCTGGGTGGCTCCCGAGGCTCCTGGTGATCCCAGAAGGCTGTGATCAGTTTGCTGCAAACGGAAGGCTAACACCAGGTAGAGGCATGGGCAGTGCTCGGCCCTTGGTGCCGAAGCATTATGCGCGTGAATTAAATGCATCTTACATCAGTGTAGGGAAAGCAAGAGGTGAGGGATTCCCCAACCATCGCGTCTACAACACCCCCGTGTGAGTTAGAGAAGACAGAGTAGATGGACCTCACTCAGCCGCTGCGTAATTGGAGGTGCATGCATGGCCAGGCCTGTGAGCACCTGCAGAAGCTGGGAGAGGTCGGTGGAGATGTCCCTGGGTCTGGAATCAGACAACCCCGTTCTCAGTCTGGGACCCTCCGTATGTGAGCTGCCAGGCTTCATGTGTTGCTTAACTTCCCGAGCCTTCCTGTCTTCACTTTCAAAGTGAGGCTAGCGGACCTGCTCTCCTAACTCAGTGGGGTTGTGAGACAAGATTTCAGATGCAGCCAGCCCATCCATTTGGCATATCCCCTCAGGGCACGATCAGAAACCAACTTTGTCTCTTCTCCTAAAGCTAATTCCAAATGCGCTTTGTTGATGCTGAAGTGGTGCCCCAACCAGCTTGGCATGTTCAGATTTCTCCAGGGCAGAGTCGAGCCCTGTTCTGTGCCTCCCCAGCTCTAGAGCCATGTGCCAAACCCAAGCTTTCATGCACGGGAAAGGGAGGGGGCCAGTGAATGTCTGCAAGTCTCAAGCAGACAGGGAGGATGACTGTCTCCTTTCATACAATTGCCTTCAAATTCTCTCAGGTGTAATCTTGCAGCCTCCTTGCTTATTTTGTTGGGGGCAAGAGGGGAAGCACCCCTTTCCCATTACTTTCTTTACTCCTACAACTTTGCATCACAGAAAATCACTCTCTCAGTCTCTGCCCTTCTTTTTTTCCAGGGGCTGAAGGTGAGGGATGGGAGGTGATGTTGGTTACCTCTTATTCAACTCTTAGGAGATATCTCTCTTAAGAATACTGGGTGGCATTTGTCATCAGATGTCTTTAGTTTGGGTTTTTTTTTTAAGATTTTATTTACTTGTTTATTTATTTTAGAAAGAGAGAGAAAGCACATTAAGTGTGAGAGGGGGAGGGAGTCTCAAGCAGACCCCTCCCTGAGCATGGAGCCCGAAGTGGGGCTCAATCTCACAATCCTGAGATCATGACCTGAGCCAAATCCAAGAGTTGGACGCTTAACCGACTGAGCCACCCAGGTGCCCCAAGTTTAGGATTTTCAACTGAAATTCCAGACAGAAACAGAAAGTTCTATTCCATATCTGTTATTCATATATAACATATGAATATAAATATAATATGTTATTATATATAAATATGGAAAGTGAGAGAGAGAGAGACCTTGAAACTGCAAAATCACATTTAGTCAACACAGATAATATTGATTCCAGTAAGACAAATCTCTCAATAGATGCAATAGATGTTGGTTTGTTTTTCCTGGTGGTCTCTATAGACTCTGTCTTCCCATTTGACATTTTGAATGTTAAACTTGCCCTTTTTCTAGGTAATCATTATGATTGCCAGAATTTGTGGGCTGTGCTTTAACCATCCTGATAATGATGACACACACAATCCAAATATATAGATGAGAATTGCCTTTGAATTTATGGAAGTCAGAGGTTAACAGTGCAGGCTCTGCATGTGAAATGCTAAATTCAATCCCAGCTCTTCTGGTTATCTATCTAGGTAGCATTTGGCACACTATTTAATCTCTGTGCCTCAGTTTCCTCATCTGAAAAAATGGGAATAATAATAGAATTAGATAATAATAATAGAATATACCATTATTATGAGAATTAAATTTGTTTAGTTACATGTAACATGCTTATAAAACAGCACCTGGCAAGAAATACACACTCAATAGATGTTAATTATTGTGGTAAGCAGAATAAGGGCCCCCTAAAGATGTCCATATCCCAATTCCTGGGACCTGTGAATATGTCATATAACATGACAAAGGAGAACTACAGTGCAGATGGAATTAACTACAGTGCAGATGGATGTCCCTGGGTCTGGAATCAGACAACCCCGTTCTCAGTCTGGGACCCTCCGTATGTGAGCTGCCAGGCTTCATGTGTTGCTTAACTTCCCGAGCCTTCCTGTCTTCACTTTCAAAGTGAGGCTAGCGGACCTGCTCTCCTAACTCAGTGGGGTTGTGAGACAAGATTTCAGATGCAGCCAGCCCATCCATTTGGCATATCCCCTCAGGGCACAATCAGAAACCAACTTTGTCTCTTTTATTTGCTGATAGGCTGACATTAAGATAAAGGTGATCATCCTGGATTTCCCCCCCATGGCCCAAAGTAATCATGAGAAGCCTTAAAAGTAGAAGAGGGAGGTGTGACTGTGGAAGAAAGGTGCAGAGAAATGCAATGTTGCCGGCTTTGAGATGGAGGGAGGTGGCCATGAGCCAAGGAATGACGGCAGCCTCTAGAAGTTAGAAAGCACAGAGGAGTGGATTCTGTCTGGAGAGCCTCTAGAAGAGAACCCAGCCTGCCAAATCCTTAACTTCAGCCCATTTCTGTTGTTTCAGCCACTAAGTTTACAGTACTTTTTTTTTTTTACAGCATCAGTAGAAAACTAACATAGTTGTTATAATCACTAGTACTACTTCTACAATATCGTAGTAATGTATAAGGAAACAATTTCCTCTTTAAGGTGTTAAAGAAAAAAAAAGCCATGAAGATTTAACTAGAGTAGTCTATAAATATAAAAACTATTAGAGCTGGATGGGGTGGCTGGGTGATAGACATTGGGGAGGGTATGTGCTATGGTGAGCACTGTGAATTGTGCAAGACTGTTGAATCACAGATCTGTACTTCTGAAACAAATAATGCAATATATGTTAAGAAAAAAAAAAGAAGAAGAAGATAGCAGGAGGGGAAGAATGAAGGGGGGGAATCGGAGGGGGAGACAAACCATGAGAGATGTTGGACTCTGAAAAACAAACTGAGGGTTCTGGCGGGGGGGGATGGGTTAGCCTGGTGATGGGTATTAAAGAGGGCACGTTCTGCGTGGAGCACTGGGCGTTATGCACAAACAATGAATCATGGAACACTACATCAAAAACTAATGATGTGATGTATGGTGATTAACATAACAATAAAAAAATTTAAAAAAAACTATTAGAGCTTCACATATCCCATTTTCTAGAATATTGCCTTCACTTTATAGTTTGTTTCAGATGACTTGATGTGGCAGGTTCATGCTCTGTTGCCCATAATATAGAGCAAGCTATTCCTTTTGTTGTCCAATATAGGCTGTATTTGCCTGTGGTGGAAAGCACAGTTTCTAGATCCTTCAGCCATCTAGCAACTCCGTTTTGTTTCCTTCTACTGTTTTAGCAAAATTAAGATCTGAAAGGTGGTGTTTGATTTTATCTCCCGTGTAAAAATAGCAACTGTTTTCCACAGCCTTTTGCATCTGAGGTTGTGAGCATATTGGAGTTGCTGCTGCATGCACATTTTCAACAACAAAGAACCCAAAAGCTCTTACCATTAGCCAGCAGATTTTGCTTTAATTCTCATCTGTTGCTCAGATGCTGTTGACTTAGTTTCTTTCTTATTTAAAAAAGATTGATTGATTTAAGGTTCTCTAGGAAGTAGATGTGTGGCTTAAATATGTATTATTTTTTTCCATTATCTGCGTTTCACAGCCACTCCCCCGTCATGGAGCTTTAATGCAGCTTGTGCCATGGGCAGTGGCACCTGGCCAAGGGCATGAGCGGAGACCAGAGTCGTCTCCCTCTCCTCACAACGCCATGCGTCATGGAAGTGCGAATGTGTTAGCAGTGGCTTTGCTCTGGCTTGTAAAAAGCTAAGTGTTGTGTGCTTTTCTGATATTAGCTGGTCCATTCATGTTAATTTGTAGTCATACAGGTTAGCTCATTAGTTAATTTGACCTCCTCCTGATCCTTTTGAAAAAATTATGGGGATCTCGTTAATTCGTATCTTTAAATGTGCGGTGTGGTTCCAGTATGCTTAATGCTTTGCTGATTTCAGAATTACGTCCTCGTAGATTCACCTGTGGCTCTGACACAAGCCATGAATTATTATGGAAAAATGTGCAAGTCAAGAACATACCAACTTTGTTAGTTTCCCTGAATCCTCTGTTTACCTGCCTTTGAAAGAGGACATTAGGGGATCAAGATGCTTCCATTTTTTCATCATGTGTTTGGCTTTCCTTAGGGCTTGTACTCTTCATGGCACTAGCGGGTAGAAACAATGCCCTTGGCTCCTGGCAGCCAAAGGGTGAAGCTCAGACCCCCTCAGTAGACAAGCCAATTGCTATCAGCCCTCGGCCGTTTTCCTGGGGTCTAGCAGATCTTTTTTAAACACTGAAGAGAAATATCCTTTGGCTAACGAAATCTTGCCCTGTCTAGAGCAGAAAGCCCAGCATTAAGCCCCTGATTTCTTAATTGTTTAGTAACCATGTGGATCTTTACATTCTTTAAACTGAATTCTGTCCCAGGTCTGTGTTTAAAATCTATTCCTTTATATTGTATTTGCTGTTGTTCCCTTTTGATATTATAGGCCACTCACTTCAAAGACCTTTGAATTATCAACTTGTGCTGGACCCTGAATGGAAAACCTTGATGTTGATCAAGTACCTTTTCTATACCCTTTGTGTGCTTTGGTACCTAAAGGAATTGTGCCTAGTAAATTCCTTTTTAATGGATTAACAAATAATAAAGTGCTACACCTGCCAATAGAAAACTTCATCTGTTTTAAAAATTTGTCTGCCCATAGTCATTGATTAATAACCTATGTCG